TATTATTACTACACACAACACACACACACACACACACACACACACACACACACATATATATATATATATATATATATATATTCACATATATATATGCGTGTTTGTGAATATGAATATACAACGGGGTTGAATGAAAGTGCGGCATATCAATCTACATATACTCAGTCATATACACAGACATATCTTAGCATAGAAAAGTTTATCTAATTGTGTATATATAGTATGAGCGTGTCTATTCAGTTGCCTTAGCAGAGCCAAAAACAGGGTTGTAACGCAATTAGTACAGAGGTTACACATGCTTCCTACTAAGTAGACAGATAGTCTTCTCTTTGTCTGTTTTAACGTATAGGGAACGGCTCGCACTGTCGGCGTATGACACACGGGACGACGAGCGTTGTCACGTGGTCTGGAACGCATTCCAGCTATTTTCCAACAATATCAGATCCACCGTGTCGCAAATTCTGACGCAAATGTTTGGGCGAAAATGCCACAGATCCCAACTCACTGGTCGTCACCAATGTCGGAAGTGGTGTCATAGGTGTCAAAGTCAACAGACATATGACAGCACATTAAGAGACACGACGCGACGCGGTGACACATGTACTTGACCACTCATTTGGCAAATATCCGACCTGGTTTTAAACATTCCTCGCATATTCTGTCGCAAATTTGTCACAGGCGGAAATGCCACAGATGCCGATGCGCTGGTCGGCGTGGTGGCCAATGTGGGAGGGGGTGTCATCAGTGTCAGAACCAATGGCGTGGTGTCAGCGTACGAGACACGACACGACGCGTTGACACGAGGACTGGAGCAGTGGACGTACATGCTGGGTGATGGGAGTGCCAGTGGGAATACACAACTGGAGCTGAAGTATCGCAACAGCGGCAAGGATGTGCAAGGACCCAAGGTATATGCAGGTGTAATGTGATGTGTGAGTGGTGAGGTTGGTTTGGCGGGGCCGTGGCGGGTGTGTGTGTAGGTGGGTGTGGGGTGTATAGGGGCCTTGTGGGGAAGGTGATGTGGAGTCGACACTCATTATAAGACCGTGATAATATCAAGCATGTCTATATAAAAGACTGTGAGGTATATATACAAATAGATATCTGTATATATATATACATATATATACATGTATATATATATATATATATATATACGTACATGTGTACATGTGTAGAATTTTGTGTACTAAGGATAGACGAACGAGACATCTATATGTCTACGAGTATCAGATACGATATAGGAGTGTGTATGGCGGGGTTCCTGATATCTTCCATGGGGTGATTATGTGGAAACTCTGCTATGAGATTTTTATGATATTGCGGGTGGCGACACACCTTTTTGAGGACACGTGGCGAGAAAAACTTTGCTTATGGATTGATATATAGTAGTTCATGATTAGTCTATGGTGCAGGTGGAAGCAGCCTGTTATTGGAAAG